AAGGTTTGGGGTATCCAACCCACAATTTTTTTGAATTATAAAAATAAAATGAGAGTGGAGCAGTGGCTTGTGGGCTTCTCGGCGTTCTTCTGATGATTCTCTGATAGTAAACTTAACTTTGTTACTGTTAGAACTCAGTATTGTTATCTTTTAAGATACAGCACGATATACACAGATCCAAAAATAGAGGCGGTAATATACAAGAAATATCATTACTTTTTATTTTCATTTACTTTACTTCACTTTTTTAAAATGCTGCAACAGTTATTTTAACCGTTTAAATTAAATGGGAGATATTCATAAAAATTCTCACCCCTAAAACTTTCAACTTACGGCCGAGCACTGAGCACGAGTTGTCAATTGTGATTTATGACTTTTTATGATCTAAAACGTTTCCTAAAACACAAAAATGGTAAAATGGCTTAAATGCTGACTGGAACCACCTTTATAACCTCCATATGCTATCGTCAAAAAAGCGTTCTTCAGTTGTTCATATCACGCAAATGTTTTTTTGTAGAAACCGTTGTTAATCCGCCGTTGGCGAAAATGACGAACAGTTGATCCACTAGAGACGAAAAAGCATTTAGGCAGCGGACAAAGTTGTTATTTAGTCAGCATGAGCTTATCGTAATATAGATTCATTTTTCCCGTAAATATGCATTAAAATATATGTATATTATTTTATTGGCCACAGCAAGTCGTATTAGAGACCTTTTTCGTGTTTCGCATTGAAGATATTGTTTTAATAATAATTTTCCGCCATCGATATCGAGTGTTTCGAAGCACCAACTTGACTAATTAATCTCGACCATAATTCCAAGTTCACCACTGACCGGACACGATTATTTCCAGGAACATTCATTTCGAATTTGTATACTCAGAAAAATACGAATAGGAAAATTTATAACATAATTCAATAAATATTTGTGCAGCAGAAAATAACTAAATATCTCAATGAACACTGGCAGTTTCATGGATACGGGACTTGGCCGAGAATTTTTGGCGTAATCGCATAATACATATTCATACGCATTCAACAGGTTTTACCCATTAATCTAAACTGTTCGCCAAAACATAATTCGTATTTGGGGAGAATAATTGTTTGGATGTACACAATTTTGTAATTACAACGTGTAATTATTTTCGAATTAATTTGATGATTTATCTATTAACGCAATCGCCTACGCAAATTTGTTTATTTACTTTTATTATTGTAAAACGGCGAATAAATGCGACGCGAGATGCGTTGGAGCTGGTGTATCATTTAAACTTTTAAATCTAAAACTGACGTAATCTTAATGGACAGCAACAAAACTGTACAGAGCTGCGAAAAAGGAACTTAAAAGTAGAGAAAAAAAAACGGTGTAAATCCTTTAACATATTACCCCTAATTCGTCTTCGTAAATCAGAAAGTACAAATTAAACGTCTTTATGATGGCTTCTTTAGATTATACTCGCCTGAGTGATAGCTTTCGAGAAAAACGGCAAATCCCCTGCGGATAAACGCTCATCAACAATAAAAACATTTAAAGTTTGTGATGAACCAAGTTCGGGGTGAATGGTTTTTACCACATCCGTACGGGGTTGTCTGTCGCTCTCGATTTTCTGCAAAACCTTCCTTGTAGTTTTTACATTTACTCCTGTAAGACGGAATGCCTCGACTATCGGCCGGCACCCTATATCGATTTCGGCTTTAAAACTTTCCTATATAAAAGCCACTAATATGTGCGAACCAATTTCCCATCGAATTAGGGAAATTACGTAACCGCAGAATACGTGCAACAGTCTAGACCAATTTGAATTTTCAAACGGAAAATTCGATCACGGAAATCACATTTCCACTTAGGGTTTTATTTAGTTTATCGGGGAGCTTTCTCTAAAATATATAATACTCGTTGATTTGAAAAAACATAATTTATGAAACAGTTTTGCTACAAAATGAGAATCTAATACCGATTTAACATACATTGTTATATATATATATATATATATATATATATATATATATATATATATATATATATATATATATATATATATATATATATACAATATATATGAAAACATTTATTTCTTTCGAACTACAAAAGATATGAAAATTGTACAATTATGGTATCCATTCAATTTGAGCACCGTGCGTTACACGACAAATGTCAAAATGGTGGCTCATTTCTGGCCACATACGAATCGGCTGATCTTTGGTTATGAAATTGACTGCTTCATTAATTCCATGTCGTAGAACTTCAAGGATGTCAGGCATAGGAGATAAAAATCGCAAGGAGTGAGATCTAGAGACCTGGGAGGCCACCGTCAATAACAATAGACTCTAGTTTTGGCAATTGTAGAACACAAAAAGACGACTTCGCCTGTGGTTTCGCCATTTCACTACAGATTACAAACCTACAAATAAGACCAGAAGGCACACCAGCCCCAATGCGGCCATGTTTGGAACTGTTACCGTAGTAATAATAGATTGTACACTTTTCTCTATTCATTAACATCAGAATCATGTTTATAACTTTGTGGTTTGGGAGAAATAAATGTTTGCAATCTGCTCTTTCTTTTTGAATAACCCTGTATTTTGTTTGACCAGGTTTTCCAATACTATTTGTATTTGAGCGAAACGATGCCACAAAAGTATACCTGCACCACCAAAATAGGCAATGAATAATTTGTATAAACAGAAATGTAATATATTATTATTAAAGAAATTCATAGATTCTTAGCTACTTTAACCAGGAAAAGTTTCACCCTCTCTTCTATTTATTTCGAAAATTGGCTTTTCTAAAAGAGAGGAAAAAGTGCTATTCGGTTTAAATATGTTTGACCAGGCGTTCCACTAGATTCGTAGTACCAACTTTTTGATGTTTTCTGTTATGCGAATGATAAGATCAGAGCGAAACTTTTCTATAAAAGTATACCTGCGACAACAAAACGACACATATCTGAAAAAAAAGGCAATAAATAAACATGTTTGTATAAAAGATATGAGTTATTGATGTCAAAAATATACTGATAGTAATATAAATCTAAAATCTGCCCAAGCTTGGCGTGGTGTAAAATGAATAAAATACCCGAGTGGCTTTAGAATGGCAGGGCAAAGAGCGCAAAAGAGATAAAGAAATTTGAGACAAGAAATGTGGAAATTATTCATAGGCTTTACTCCAGTGAAGGTACGGGATTCGAAAGTATCATCACAAGTCCGTATATTTTTCTGAGTTATCATTTGTCAAAAGAATTTCTCTTTTACTTTGTACGACGGTCATCGCCAATATAGGGGTAGTGACTTACCAATCGTCCCCGATCCCTTGGAATTTTTATTGCCTAATTATTTGGGGAGGAGTTATATCTATAGCATTTAAGCTGATATTATCTGCCCGGAGTCTTTGTTACAGGCAATAGTTCTTTACGGCAATGAAGCAAATTTTTAAATTATTATTTACAACACTGGGTTTCGAATTAAAATGTGAATTTGACCTCTTAATAACGTCGTTTGATCGATCTGGAAAACTTCAACAGTGCTTATACAGTCTACGTCCCCAGTCTCTCCACAGTGGAGGCCAAGACCAGACGTTGTAATGCTGCACCGGGTGTCTGTAATGTGGTTTCCCAATTGCGGATGCGGCCTCAAGCCGTATTTCCTTGGTGGCTTACTCAAAATTTTAATTAATTATTATTCTACGTGCGTTATTGTATATAAATTATAACGGACATAAACGACCCAGTTATTTCGATTAGTTCTGGCATCCGGTTTGTGTTTGGGCAATTATCAAATATTATCAAATTCAATTATTCTCTTGTCAAGTCTCCTATGGTAAGAACGCAGTATAATACAAATAACCCACGTTATGATATCACGTGAAATTTTCTCATTTATTAAAAAATCTTTCAAATAATTTCAAATTCCGAATAAAAACATTTCATTACATTTTAAACTTCGAAAGTTAGTTTTTCAATTTTCAACTTTTTCTTATTTAAAATCATGATTATTGATTCAAATGACGCAGTGTTCTGTAATGGACATACACCTCTCGTTAAAAATCGACGCCCTGTACATAATTCTAGAATGCTGTTAAAGTTCACGCGTCTATAGAAAACATTTTCGAACGTTGCTTTGTTGCCCGCTTAGTATAATGGAAAAACTTACCCAATTGCGATTTAAACTCGCATGTATTATCAACCGACAAAGTATTAAGAAAAGTGTCAAAAGGAAAACCAGACAGCGAAGTCCCGATATTTAAACTCGGCTTTTGGCTCTCAAGAACCCATTATAACATTTTTGAGTTGACACTTATTTAATCTTTTAACCACAACATTTTTCGTGGCGAATATACGCTTTCTTTCCTTTGCTTTGACTCAAGTTCAGAAACGCACCTGGTAAAGCCCATAGCAACATAGAGAATATTTGTTTGAAGGCAAAACTAACTGTATTTCTGTTTGAGCATTTAGTGTTTCTCCGGTACAATGTTTATAATTGCACTGCTGCTGCAATCGGTAATGGGTCTTGAAAAACGAGCACGGGAGTACGAAATATTTGATGAAACTACCGCTAGACTAAATATATGTCGAAATCTATCTTGGTTATAAAATAATTCCCGAAAATAAAATGGGCACATACTTATTTAATATAATATCATTTCCTAGAATTCCTCATTCCCGCACTTTCAGACACTCTAACAAAGTCAAGACGTAGGAACGGAAAACAAAAGTATTTAAACGATCAGGTTTCAAAAATGTATAAAAATGTATAGAAGGAGCATGAAAATAGCTTGGCCTCTATGCGACCATTATTAACTATTGCTCCACTTTACAAACTGTACTCTGTCTATCTATAGATAGTCGTAAAGGCCATCTTTGTCAAGTTGATCAGCTGATCTCCGCTATGTGTTCAAATTCTAAATTGTTATTAATATCGGTCTTTAACTACAAGTGACTTTCTCGTATTAGATATAAACTTGGGTACATGCAAATGCTTTAAATTGTTTGAAATTTGTTTCCAGGTGGCCTGGATGCATTACGAACAATCCGCGATTCTTGCAGTTCACAACCACGTGATCACACGGAACCCGCGGATCAGCGTCACCCACGATCACCATCGTACTTGGTTCCTGCACATCAGCAACGTACAAGAAGAAGATAAAGGGCGTTACATGTGCCAAATAAACACCGTAACCGCTAAAACTCAATACGGATATCTTCACGTAGTAGGTGAGGGTCGCTTAATCAAGAAACAATACCCACTTCTAAGCACAAAGTGAGCGATTTAATTGATATTGGGAGAGATGAAAAATGAGTGGCAACTTAGTAGCGGGGAGGCGGTAATTAATGTGACGAGTAAAACCGCCATTATAACTGAACAATTCTCACAAATTATAACTTACAAACGTAAATTTCTTAATTAACAACTGTGACCTCATAAGTTATTGTTCATCTGTTACTGCAGATCTTCCTCGCACAAAAAGAGGAAAGTTGCAGCTTTCTTAGTAATTAATTACAATACTTTTGACAATGCACGCCCGGAGGTTAGAAAATCGTTTCCCCTCTCACGTCTCGTGTCTCCACCGAAACTATTTCGCTTACACGGCAACTTGTCATAGCCAGGTTTCATTTTTTTTAGCTATATAATTGCGCGTTGTGTTGATAAATTTAAAATAAAAAAAAAATGTCCCCTCAAATATGAATAGAAAAACCCGCCATCTCGCCCACCAGGTGGAACTGGAGTTTTAAAATCGAGTCTAATCATTTCGCTGGGAAGTCAAATTAAACTTCAAAGGAAAACGTGGAAAATGTTTGCATACATAATGCAGAAAATGGGAATAAGTTTCTCGTATGGGCAAGTTTCGTTTCATTAAAAAACCCAATAGGAGGGCGCAAGGATCGCATTACCTGGCGAACGCAAAAAGCAGCTTAAAGTTAATCCATACGATTTACATACTAATATCGGTATCATTTGAATTTGATGAATAATAATATCTTTAGGAGGAATTAAAATTAATATACAAATCATATGAAAGCATGAGGAATTATACCGTGTTAAGAATGTTATGGCAATTAGCACTTTCATTTATATGTTAATTCGTATGCGTACATTAAACTTTCATTATGACGATGACATCAATATAGCTCGTTCCTTTTTAAAATAGGGCAAATCTTAAATCTTCGACTAGACGAAGGATATTGATTTTCACGTATTTATACGGATGTGGCATAAATTTGGATTTTATGAAGCTTTGCATCTACAAACATAAAATATAAAATTAAGATTGTTTTCCTAAAACCCAACCTTATCGAAAAGTTTTATTAAAGTATTTTTATTCGGTCGACAATTAAAGTTGCCTATCTTGTTCACGGATATACGAAGATGGTCAGGAGAGAGAGGGGAGAGGGGGGAGATTTCCTTTTTAGTGCAAAATATGAATCGCAAATATATTCCAGGAAAAGCTAAATACATTAGGTAGGCATTTCGCTTGATTCTCTCTCTCTCTCTCGCTCTCTCTCTCTCTAGCTCTCTCTCTCTCTCTAGCTCTCTCTCTAGCTCTCTCTCTAGCTCTAGCTCTCTCTCTAGCTCTAGCTCTCTCTCTACCTCTCTCCCTCTGCCTCTCTCTCTCTAGCTCTCTTTCTCTCTAGCTCTAGCTCTCTCTCTTTCCCTCTCTAGCTCTTTCTCTTTCTCTAACTCTTTCTCCCTCTCTAGCTCTCTCTCTCCCTCTCTAGCTCTTCCTCTTTCTCTCTAGCTCTCTCTCCCTCTCTAGCTCTCTCTCTCTCTCTTTCTCTCTAGCTCTCTCTCCCTCTCTAGCTCTCTCTCTCTCTCTAGCTCTCTCTTTCTCTCTCTAACTCTCTCTCTAGCTCTCCCTCTCTCTCTCTCTCTCTCTAGCTCTCTCTCTCCCTCTCTCTCTCTAGCTCTCTCTCTCTCCCTCTCCCTCTCTCCCTCTCTCTCTCTAGCTCTCGCTCTCTCTAGATCTCTCTCTCTAGCTCTCGCTCTCTCTAGCTCTCTCTCTCTCTCTATCTCTCTCTATCTTTCTCTAGCTTTACTTCTAAAATCTCCTCTAAAATCTCCTTTAAAGATCAACCTCTAAATGGTTCTCTAAAATCTCTCTCTCCAACAGCGCAACTATTAAAAGCTCCACCTATCTCGAAAAGCTCCGCTAAAGGTTAATTCAACCCAATAGCTCGAAATTTCGGATATTTGCTTGGTGTCAGCAATTCTCTAAGCAAGCAAAACCTAAAAATACCCAACAACAATTGTGGGCTTCAGTCGAAACTCTGAAAACTCTAGCTGTAAAAGTCCGTCAAAAAGCTGCACCTCTAAAAGCTCCTCGCCGTTGAACGCTGAAAATAGAGTGTTTGTCTCATAGATTTTGTAGTATTGGAAAATAAACATTGTAATTAAAAAAAAATGTAGACGAAATGGCGAGCCTTCTGTGAATTTAATTAAATTTGCTTGGAATCTGCAACTTTTCTGCTATATTTCGGGGTCGCTAGCGGGTGGCATACCAGACGGCTAATCTAAGACGTGCGACGCGTTGGTTAAGGGATCTCTTTCTCGTTTAATTTAACAAGTTAAGGCACACATGTTCCCGCTACCGGCAAACCCGTATTCGATCGTTATTTCATCGCCGACCAACACTGCACCCCACCCACAAATTCCGAAAATCAAAACGTCATTGAAATTGACGCTCCAACCAACAAAACGGTTGTTTTATCTTTTTCTCCGACTATAGTAATTTCGGCGTAGCAATCATAATTTTCAACCGGGAAGACTTTATCGGAGGCATCTCGTAGCACGTGCCTTCGAACAAATCGGCCATTCTCTCCAGGGAAACTCGTCGATTGTCCATCGAACGGCGAACTCAATAAGATACTCGAAAACGGCATTATATTCGGACGTTCTTCCCAAATCTCGTCCGTTCAAAACCAGCTTATGTATTTAAATTTTTGAGAACATTCTATTTTTCTTTTTACTGGCGATGAAATTTGATTTCGCCCCGGTCCCTTGTTATTAACATTCCTGCTATTTTATGTCTCTTATCGGGTTTATTTGGGATCGTATTTTTTGCAAAACGTTCCGCCGGAACTGGAATCGGAATTGGATGTATACAACGTTTTCATTCCGACCATAGATAAAGATACCACCACGCGTACGCCTGGCCAATTGTCTACGTTTTCCGATGAAAAACAAGGCCTAGCCTCTTCTGACCTATTTGGGCTGCTGGCTTTACCCTGACAATAAATAGGCAAAGATTATTTAGATGAAATTTTTAAGCCGTAGTATTGTCCCTTTCGCCTTGGCTAAATGCTAAAAATTAAGAAGGGTTAAAATTTGCTAAAAGAGAGTTTAAAAAGTACCCTGAACAGTTTAAATATTTTTTGAGTAAGTTGAAGAAGAGTTTTGACGAAAATTGAGTCTTACGAAAACCCAGATAGTGAAAAAGGCCACAAATTTTCGAGATGCGGTAAGTGCAGAAGATAAACTTAGGGTAACTCTAAGATTTCTTGCCTCGGTTACTTATAATTAGGTTTTATGGTACATGTATAAATGGACTTTTTTTCCCAGAAAACTTGACTATTAATTAAAATTAATTAATTAAACTAAAAGTATAAAATATATTAACTCCTGTGAGTTAGTACATGGTTTTTGAACCACATTATATGTTATGGGGCAAGCTTTGTTGTCTCCATCCTTTTAAATTCCCCATCGCTGATATAGTTGCACTCTAGAAGTTTCAAAAGTTCTTTTTTTTTCTAGACCTAATAGTCCGATCGAGATGCAATATTGCAAATTTAGATTTTTTTAAGGAAAATATATTTAATTAATATAGAATGCTAAACAGGAAAACTCAGAAATAAAAAAATTAAAATATTGATATAAACTTTGGAAATCAAAAATTATTTTGATTTTTCTTTTCATATGATTGAATTACATGAAGTTTAAATTTCAATTTCAATTATTCGCAAAGGGTCCTGGCAGATTTAAAATAAGTAAAACTGTTTATTGATAAGAAATAACAAAAATGACTCAAATCGTTAGGTTTTGTACCATCAGTGAGCGGGCGATCGAAATTAACGATTTAATTTTACCAAATGAAATTACGTACTAAATAAAGCTTTCCTACATATTTTAAATGTCAAATATTGCGGTCTCTTGGAGTTGAGGTGATTTCTTGAACTATTAATATCAGCAATAAATGACAACAAAGACAACAATCATTTAGATCTCAAAACAACGGTGATTTGGTACTGGCAGGCTAATTAATATTAATTTAGGAGTTCGGGTTGGAGAAATAACATGTCTGAAGATGACGGCACTCAGACCAAAATGTCGTCTGAGAAGTTGACATCGGTCAAATAAAAAATAATGCACAATAGCCACAGTCAAATGCAACGAAACGATCGAGCCAGTGACCGTAGGTAGTGGTATTATCGAAACCATACTAGGGCACAAAGGGCTGACAATTACTAGATTTAAGGGAATTTCAGCCATCCCACAGATTTCAATTATAATCCAAAACCTCAATTCCATTGAATGTAATTGACCAGGTAATGGCTTTACCGAAAGCTTCACCTTACAACCATGAAAGCCCAAAATAGCAATTCCGCTTGCCTTGTTTGCAAACGTTCCTTCTAAATCATTATTGTGTTTAACTATTACTACAACTTTGTTCATTCTTCACTTCAAATTGCTATTTGTTTTGGTACGGATAACGTCTTCCGGTTTAATATGAAACTTTTTCGCGGAATAAATTATGTACGCCAGAAGTTTCGTCTACCAAAAACAATAGTTAATTACTAAATTCGCAATATCATGTGGAACAAAAACACCGGCCGGTTAAATCAAGTTTAAATATTTTGTTAAATAAAACAACAAAAAAAATCCTTTGCTCGATATTAAGAATACTACCCAATTTTTTAAAATTAATTGCAGAATTATTTAAAAATTTACGTGATTGCTTTTTTTCAAAACGCATAATAAAATAGAACACAAAATTTATAATAAATGTGGTTTTTGTTTTATTGGTCATTGCTTTAGGTAAGGTAGAATTACCGTTAGCCATAGTTTTATAAAGTAATGAAAAAGGAAGTTGTCCCTAAAATTTAATTTGATAGAAAATTCAGGATGCAAATAAAGATCTCAACTTTGGCTCAAACCTCTTTATTTATTCAACGTATTTGTTCTCGCTGCTTGTACTTTATTTACAACGCCATTGTTCGCC